AAATAAAATAATTTAATGTATACAAGTAATGTGTAACATCTAACAATGAAGATAATCATATAATTAATCTGTAATCTGTTTTGCACTAGTCGAAAATTGATAAAATATACACATATCGGGTATCCGATATGTGTATAGTGTGTCCCTAATATTGGGCATATATCGGATACCCGATAAGTGTAGAAAATATTTTTTTACACTTATCGGATATCCGATATATATATAAAATATTTTCTACACCTATCGGGTACCCAATATATGTCCAATATTAGGGACACACCATGTACATATCGGGTACCCGATATGTGTATGTTTTATCAATTTTCGACCAGTATTACTAATTCATTTCTTTAACCTTTAATTTGTTTTTTTTTACATATGGGTAATAGTGACAAAGAACTTGTGAGGTCAACATCTAACAGAAAACGTCCAGGTCATCCCAAAAATGAAGTTTGGCAGCACTTTGACCCTATCCTAGTTGGTTTAACAAGTGGAAAAAAAGATTTACATCCTGGGGCAATATGTAAATTTTGCAAACAGAAATGGTCCTGTGGAAAAACCTCTGAAATGATGGCACATATTGTTCTACAATATCCAAAACCACTATCACCAGAAATTTGAGCTTCATATCTTGAAATATTAAATAGTGGATTATTTGATGATGATGATAATAATTTCTCTAAACGATCAAAATCAAATAAGCAAACAAAAATTACTAATCATTTAGAAAAATTAACATCATAGATAAAAAGCAAAAAAAATATTCACGATCACTTACTAAGTTATTTGTTGCTTGTGGGATTCCTTTTTGAATTGTAGAAAGTCCTTTTTTTATTGATTATTCAAACCAATTATGTCCAGGTTTTTAACTTTCTAAAAGAACAACTCTATCTACTACTATGATCAATATGGAAACTGCTACTGTTATAACTGAAATGAGAAAGAAACTTGCTAATAAGACAAATTTAACTTTAGATATTGTTTTATTAAATTTTATTAATTAATTAAACAATTAATAATCAAAAACTTCATATCACACCAGTGGTGTTGAACACTGTAACCTATACCGCAGGGATTAAGGTTAGGGTTTTTCAAGGGTAGTGTATTTATCACCGTGTGTCACACCCTTTGAATATCAATTTTTATTAGATATCCTAGGGACTTAGAATTTTTTTACATGTGAAAAGCATATTTGTCACCCAATATTCATCACCCAATATTTATTACACGTGAAATAATTTCGATCACCTGCCTGAAATTAAATCATGCGTTTTATTTTTATTGGTTGATAATCACACTGGTGTTGAACACCACTGGTGTGATATAACAATGTCGTAATATTTTATAATTATTAATAATTATTATAATATATTTTTTATTTTGATCTGCTTAGTCATATAGATCAAATACAAAAGAATTGTTATACTGAAAAGAAATTCTGATTTTAGCTAATTTATAATATAGGATATAATAAGATAGTTAATTTTTAGTAATTTTTAACTAATTTATAATATAGGAATTACTATTTAGTATAGTAATTCTTTTATATTTGACTAATATTGTTACAGAATGAAATTATATATAATATATAATACTAAAAACACCTGCAAACAATTAGCAATAACATTAGATAATAATAATATTTATAATTCAATTAGTAAATATTAATTTATTTAATAAATGATAATATTTTAATAATATTTTAACTAATATTTATATTAACTAATATTAATTAATATAAATAATTATTAATAATAATATTAATATTATTGTTAATAATTGTTTGTGTTAATTAATATTGGTTAACATTATTGTTAATAATTTTTTGTATTAATTGGTATTAGTTAATATATACAAGTCAAAATTTGAATATCGAATATCTATTAGATACTTATCAGCCCTTTAATATTTTCAAATATCAGATAATTATCAGAAATTATCAAGTGTATGAAATATTTTATATATATTGGGAGTTCAATATCTGTGTTTTTTTTTAAAGGCCAATAGTACTTTTGTAAATTTTATAATGTGCCTAATAGCTATATGATAAATTTTATTTTAATCTCAGGTAATGATATGATCTGAATGATCTTACTGATCGAAAATTGATATATTATACACATATCAAGTACCGATATATGTATGGTATATTTTCAATATCGGATGTATATCAGATACTTAATAGATATAGAAAATATTTTATATATATATCAGGTACCTAATAAGTATAAAAAAATATTTTCTATACTTATCAGGTATCCGATATACACTTGATATTAAAGACGTACCATACACATATCAAGTATCTGATGTGTATATAATTTATTAATTTTTGACCAGTATCTGTTTGATCTGTCAATTTGTACAACAATTAAAATTTTCATTCGTCATCTGTTATATAGTTAATTTTTTTAATTCATGAATTATCTACAGATTATTCATTCAATTCACAAATTATGTAAATCATTCATTCAATCTGCAGATCATCCATTCAATCCACAGGTCATTCGTCCACACTGGTCGAAAATTGATAAAACATACACATATCGGGTACTCGATATGTGCATGGTATTTCCCTAATATCAGACATATATCGGGTATCTAATATGTGTAAAAAATATTTTATATATATATCGGGTACCTGATAAGTGTAAAAAAATATTTTCTACACTTATCGGGTATCCGATATATGCCCAATATTAGGGACACACCATACACATATCAGGTACCCGATATGTGTATATTTTATCAATTTTTGACCAGTGTCAATCTGTAAATTATTTTTCAATTTATATTTATTCACTTCTCCTATTTCTATTCTACCTTTCCTATTTATATTATCATTTCTATATTACCTATTTTTCCTATTTCTATATTATCACTTCTCTATTATTATTCACTTTTTTTATTTCTATATTATCCACTTCTCCTGTTTCTATATTACTTACTTTTTCTATTTCTATATTATTCACTTCTTCTGTTTCTATATACCTATCTCTCTCATTTTTATATTATCACTTCTCACATTTCTATATTACCACTTTTATATATTATACTTTTTTACTTCTATTATTTACTTTTTTCATTTCTATATTATTCACTTCTCTATTATTATCTACTTCTATATTAACCTATTTTTTTCACTTTTCTACTTCTATATTATCTACTTCTCTATTATTACCTATTTTTCTCACTTCTATATTATCCACTTTTCTTGTCTCTATATTAACTCACTTCTCTATTATTACCCACTTCTATATTACCCACTTTTCTTACTTCTATATTACCCATTTTTCCTATTTCTATATTAATACACTTTTCTATTATTACTCACTTTTATATTACCCACTTTTCTCACTTTGATATTACCTATTTTTTTCATTTTTATATTAATCCACTTCTCTATTATTACCTACTTCTATATTACCCATTCTTCCCACTTCTATATTATTCACTTTTCTTACTTCTATATTACCCACTTCTCCTGTTTCTATATTATCTATCTCTCCTGTTTCTATATTACTCATTTTTTCTATTTCTATATTACTTATTTTTCTTATTCTATATTATTTACTTTTCCATTTCTATATTATACACTTTTCCCATTTCTATATTATTCACTTTTCTATTATTACCTACTTCTATATTATCTACTTTTCCTATTTATATATTAATCCACTTTTCTACTTTTATATTATCTACTTTTCCTATCTCTATATTACTCACTTTTCTATTATTATCTATTTCTATATTACTCACTTTTTTCACTTTTATATTATTCACTTTTTCCATTTCTATATTAACCCACTTTTATATTTTTATATTACCCAATTTTTTCATTTCCATATTATCCAATTCTCTATTATTATCTACTTTTTCCTTTTCTATACTATTACTCACTTCTCTCGTTTCTATACTATTACCTAATTCTCACTTTTCACAACATTCCTGATCACAATTCTGAGAAAGAAAGTAAGTGCTTTTTTATTTTATTTAAGAATAAGCAAGAGAAGAAGTAAGTTGTTTTTATTTTTTTTTTAAAAAAAATATTAAAAAAAAATTAATAATAAATATACTTACCCTATACGTGTTGCCCAAATCCCAAATCATTTGGGATTTGGGATGCCAAAATCCCAAATTACTAGTATTTGGGATTTGGGATTTGAGATTTTGGCAAAAAATACTAATCATAATTTGGAATTTGGGATTTGGGATTTCGGCATTTGGGATTTCGGCATTTGGGATTTTGGCATTTGGATTTTGAATTTGGGTGGCAGGTATAACTTACCCATTTTTGCAAATCTAATATGTTACGAGAATGATATTTCAGATTCCAATTCTGAAAAAGAAAGAAGTATTTTTTTATTTTACTTAAGAATAAGTAAGGGGAAAAGTAAGTAAGTTGTTTTTATTTTTTTTTTAAAAAAAAAAATATTAAAAATTAATAATAAATATATTTATACATTTTCATAAATCCAATATACCATTGATACTATCTGTTAGAAGAGCAAAGAGGCAAATACAACAAGTGCTTATATTTAGTTCAGTAGTTATCAATAAATTTTGGGAGTATGAAAAGACAAATAATAATAAAATAATTAATTTTCTATACTATAAGATAATAAAGATAAAGAATATAGAGAAGAGAAAATATAACAAATTCTAATTTAAAGACAATAAAAAACAAAATGAAATAGTTTCGCTAGGACTTGATAAGGATTTAAAGGATGGATAGGTTCAAAGAATGAAAAAAAGTGAGTTCCAACTAAGTTATGTGACAGTTTGAGTAAAGTATTAAAGATCAATAGTTTATTTTAAGACTCTGAATTATACAATGTAGACTCTATTTATAATTTATAAACAAATGCAAGGAAAGAAATAAACATGTGTATAACTTATTTATAGATAAAATAAAGATTTTATTAAAAAAATAAAGAAAGTACAAAAAAAAATAAAGAAAGTAAAGAAATCTATTCTATGTTTGCTCAAAAACTATCTAAAGGATTAATCAAAATTCATTAATCACTAATTGATTATTTGTTTTATATTGATTGATATTTAATTGTTTATTCATTAATAATTAATTCTTTGATACATAAGGAAGAAAATTTAAAGTTACTTTTATAGTTATTTTAATTTTATTCTAAAAATATAAATTAATCTATCAATTAATTACATAATGAAAGAAGAAAAAAAGAATAAAAAAGAAAAAAATAATAAAATAAACTTAATTCTAGTTTTGTTTAGCTTCTTGGCTACTGTGGAAGTAGTAGTAGTTCAAAACATTAGTATCTTTGCCTTGGTGAGTAGTCTTTCATTAGGAAGAGTGATCACCATCTAAGTAAAATGGTAATTTCCATAGTAATTCACAGTAGACCGTAATATCTGCAGTTCGTGATATATCAGAAGTCACGTGGCACATGACGGATGCAGTTAAAGAATTTATAAATATAAATAGTAAAGAGAATAAAGAATTAAGATTTTTAAGGTGAATTCAGAAACAGAGGAGATAGTGAAAAAGATAAAAATGAAGTGGGTAGTATAAGGTAAATGGATAAATGAAGGTAAGTGGTAATAAATATTTATAAGTAATCTTAGGAAAAGAGAAAAAGGAGTAGAATGGGGTGACAACAATTAAAAGAAAAATTATATAGATAAAGATTAAAGGTAACAGGATATGATGGATGAGAACAAAAATGAAAATGTGATGACAATGAAGAGGATAAAAAAAAATAGTAACACACTTCTCTTTTTATGTTCGAGTTTTCACAAGAACTCAAGAACTCAAAAAAGAAGAGAAAAAAAAAGTTTGATATATACATGTTTCCAAAATTGATTTTGGACTTTTGAGATATTTCGACTTTTTAAGATTTATACAAAATCTATTCTATATATAGAAGTAAAAAAAGTACCTAGTTATATGTATCTTTAATCAAAGAATAAATCTGGGTGGTTAAAAAATTTTGGGTTTTAAGTAAAATAATTTCGTCTTCTATGAAAAAATATTTCGACTTTTTTCTCCAAATTGTAATTTCGGGACTCCAAAATAATTTTGCGTGCAAGTATAGTTTGATAATTTACTCTTGTTGTTCATTTATTTGTATTTCTATTATTTTTGTTAATAATTCTTGGAAGTCATCATCTAATATATATTATAGTACATAACATGATATATAGGTGATACTAGGGATATTATAGTTACCTCTTACAGAATATAGAGTATAGGCTCTTCTAAAAATTGTTCAAAAATGAGATAGATAATTTTGTAAAAGGTAAGATTTAACAGTACTTCTAGTATTATTACTAAATCCTCTTAGATACAGGAGAAAACCTAACTGAAAATAAAGTAAAAGCTTTTCATCATTCTTGATATTGCTATCAAAAACATTAATAGATTCACATACATAAGCAAGTTATTCTTCCCAATTTTTACTTGGAAGAAGAGGCAAGGAAGTCATACTCACACTATTTCTCCTCAAATCTAAAATTAACAGAGGTAAATGATCATAGATCCTCTCTTCGTGATTTTATAGAGTGAAGGATATACTTCATATTTAATTTCTCCAGCTGTTATAGTTAAAATTTCTCTTATGTCATATTGCTATATGACAAATTGAATTATTAGAACAATGGTACATACAGGAATAGAAATATGTTTGTGACTTATGTTTCGCATGTTGTTATTTTTAGGTTTACATTAGATCTTGTGGCTTTATATATCTATTGATTTTAACAATTCTTCTTGTAGTATCTACAGTATTTCTTATGTCCTGAACTTTATTATTTTTTACTCACGGCCTCTACGGCCTTCCTCATATTTCAGATATTATCCAAGTTTTTATTCTTCAAGGAGGAAAGAGTGAAGTGAAGTATTTCTTAATCAAGAAAGTGGTGTTGTATCAATATATAGACAAGGATCTGAAGGATAACTAATATTCTTAAACAAAACTAACTTAAACTACTTAAATAATTCTCAGAATTTCTCGAGAATCACTAAAATTAACTCAATTCAATTATTTAATAGTGAATATGAAAAAATATTACAAGATGAGTTCTTTATTGTGCAGGGTATTAGCACATCAAATCAGCTTGTCTGCTTAATAAGATGTATATGCTAAAGAGTATTTATACAAGATTAACTTAGGTTTTATTAAGATTTACGTGACAAATTAACAAATTAAAGATTTAATGGAAATATTTAATATGATATAACTTTATTAATAAATATAATAATAAATATAATGATAAAATATAAAATAAAAATAGAAATTATAAAAGTAAAGGTAAATATTAAAGGATTAAATTATATATTAACTAGAAGAGACAACTCTGTTCT